ACTGAGCCTTCAATTTTGCCATGACTTATCCCGGGGTGCAAAGAGCGTTAGTGAGCGTAACCCCTGGAGTATCGAGGATGTGGGTAACGCCCCTTCGCTCTAGATATCTGCACCCTTGATATATGTCATATCAAAATTGAACGGTACGCGGCTAGCTATTACATTGGTATCATGTAATAAAAAAAAATCGCAAGACAGAAACATGTCATTTGAAGATTACAGAAGCGTGACACCCGACTTTAAAGCCGGTTAATTTTACATTTACATAACCACGTTACTCTTTTGATGTAAATCAAGAAGGATCGAACTACTCTTCTTGTCTTATCCACAAAGTGGAGCACACCGATTCTTGACTTTGTGACGACATATTCCCGGGATATTGAGAGAGTTAGTGACCGTGACCCCCGGGTATCGAGGGGGACGCCTTCGATGCCTAATTTGAATTTCCCTGCGGGTGTTTATGTGTTAAAGGAAATCCTGATGTAACACACTGGGTGATTGCATGGACGACCTTTGTTTGGCCCTTGTCTCTGTAGTGAGGATGAAGTAATGAAACGCTAATTTTTGACTTAGAGTTATTTCCCTTGCTAAAGAATTAATCTCTCATTTCGATGCTGTGCATTTATAATTCCTTAATAATAACACTCATTTCGTAGAGCACAGAATTGGCAGTGATTAGGTTCTCGAGTTCGAGTTTTGTTTTTGTTTTTTCTTTTCACATTTTTTACATTAACGTTTTCAAAAACTCCAATTTCGAACAGGGCCAGCTGTGGCAAAGTGGTAAGACGTCTGATATTCTGCTACCACTAGCCCCCCAACACTGGGTCGCAGGTTCGAGACCTACATGGGGCAGTCGCAAGGTACGTACTGGTCGTAGGTCGGTGTTTTTTTCTCCGGGAGATCCGACTTTCCTCCGCCACCAAAATCTGACACGTCCTTAAATGACCATAGCTGTTAATACTTAATGGGATGTAAAACACAAACAAACCAAACCAATTTCAATCAACTGTAATTTTATCAAATACATCTAAAGATGTTAATCATCACGAATGCTTCTGTACAAAGTGGCAAAAAAATGTTGTTCAACAATGTAGTACTAATGGCAATTATATGTTTTGACATGATGGTAATCTTTACCCGAATTCGGTTTAAATGCCAATAAAGCGACCAAAACCTAATCTTTTGCATTCATTGCAATTAATTGTATTATTTATCTTGTTTCTACCATATACTGTATGACGCCGATGTCCTCTGAATGTATTGAGGATGTTTATCTATTTAATAAAAAATATTTTTTTCTAATACATGTACATTGTGTATCTAACCCTTCAATATCAGGATCTTTTGCACATATCGATGTCGATATAATTGAAAAATCTCGTTTTCTTGGTAAGTGCAGTTATTGTGTTACTGTAGTCATTATTTTTAATTGTCTATTGATCCAAGGGAGGTAATCCCTCGTCAATGGAATGGAATGCACACTTGTTTTAGTAGTACAATTGTATCGGAACACGACGAATCTTCTCCGAATATGTGATCCAACTTGTACATCGCAGCTATCATGCCGAGGACCAGACATTTAAAACATTTCGGCTCTTCTTGCGGCAACTCGATAACTGAAGTTAACCTGAAAAGAAAGTCCTACTTCCGGTTACATGATCGTTCATTTTTGCCTGGTACAGCACGGTGGGGAAGCGCGAAAAAAACTGCTTTAGAGTACATAATTTTAAGTAAATCTTATTATTTTCGGTTTGTAGGAATGAAGTTTAGCGATTCCTCACTTCTAGAATGTATTGCAAAGGAGCAGCTCTAAACAATGAAACAATGAGGGCTGCTACCTCAAACCTACATATACTTTTATATACTTTAGTCACGGAATTGTGGATGCTATCTTAGTCCGTGCTTGAGTCAATTAATTAATTTCAACACAGTTCTGGAATCATTTTGGTTTATATCGTTTTTACACATCCACTGTGGATTCTAAATCTGCAAAGCAACACGAGAGAAAACTGTCGGCGTCTCACTTGGCAAATAAATCCTTCACACATTCAGTAAGTTGTGTCTGGTGCCGTTATTTCTAACAAATAAATAAGAAAACATGTCATGCAAAGATACGCAAATTGTTTTACAGCATTTATGTTTGGTCCTAAACCGCCCGGTGTGCACAGAGTAATACTGTATTATTAAACGGTTTAGGGACTTCAGATCTACTCTCGGTAAATTTGCCGACACTTTATAATAAGGGGTATGGCAAGCCACTTTAACATTTATTCATGGAGCAATGTTGATCTTGTTTTTCATCAAATTATATCAGATATTTTACAAGATACAAGAAACTTTATTTAACGTTGCATACAGGTAAACAAGGAACATCAGCTCTTGAGAGCTATTATTGCGACATACATATGTAAAAATAACAATAACATATTATACTACAAGTAAAGGGAGATAATCACATATATTTATAATAAAACAGTAATAATCATCACAGAAAAAAAGAAAATATACATAATGATATCACAGGTTTCTAAGTGATTGGGTGATATCTTGTATATTATATAATATATAACGGATATCTCAAACACAATAGAAATCTCATAAATATGACATGTCTCATACAGTATATAGATTATGATATCTCATATAGAAATTAATTAATTTGTCAGACACAAACTGGAATACTGCTCGAACAACCAGTGGCGTAGCATACATATGCTTGTATGCTTAGGCATACACTGAAAACATTTAAAAATAAAAAAAATCAATAATATCTTGTTATTACTGTTAAAGCATATATATTTTCGTTGGGGTTAAATTTCGTTGTTTTTTGGGGGGACAAATTCGTGGGGATGATATTTCGTGGAATCAAAATTTTCAAACCCAGTATTTTTTTTCTGTTTGACACCTGGACAATACTGTAGATCCGGCTAACCGTACACGCCCGAGGTGATCACCTGTACACATGTCCACTCCAGGTGAAATTCTCACACCTCGCTTCATCCCAGTATTTTTTTATTATTTTTTAGGATAAATATGGACCGAAATAATCATTAAAAGTAAAGAAATATAAAATAGTCCGACGGAACATATGATACCGTGTTGTCCTCGGATAATCGCTGATGGCCTTTCAGTCTTATCATGAGCAAATGGAACATTTATTTGCTAATTATCAGACTAAAAGATGTTCCCAGAACACGGGTGATTGCTTCTAGGGTATGGTAGATTTTTTTTCCATCTATGTAAGCGTACATTCCGAAAAAATATTTGCTACGCCACTGACAACCAAACAGAGAAATGGCAACGCAGAGTAGCACGATACGTACACAACAAATACTAAAACACAAGCTCCGTACAAAACATGATGAATAGTCCTCACTTCTGCGTCATCTACAATTTTATCCTCTTTTATCGTAACCATTACTACTATTAAAAATAGAAATCACTGTACATATCTTCACGCAAATTATTGCAGTCCACCAAACACGAGACTGGCATCATCGTGATCGGGTGGCGCAGTGGATAACGCACTCGCCTTTCACCAAGGCGACCGGGGTTCGATTCCCCGATCGGACGTGGAAAGGTTCTGGGGTCACCTGTCCGGCCGCGTGGGTTTTCTCTGGGTACCCCGCTCTCCTCCCTCATTAAGACCCCCGCGCGCTAACATCCGGCCCAACAGGAGTGATTAATATGAGTTGCAGTAACATGTTTCATAATTGTCGTAAAATAAATCAAGTTTATATTTTTATCGTTTAAATTTACAGCACCTTACCGCAATAAGGAGAAGAACACTACCCGTTGAATAAACATAATTTGAACAAATAAGGATGCTGATATTTACCTTACTAATGTTGAATCAATTACAAACCAGTTACATGTACCTTGCATATTCTTGAGTAAATCTGGATTATCTTTTTGCACTGGCCATGGTCATTGGAAGTTCCCATGGTAGCCTCTGATCTCAAATGATACATGTGGTAAGATGTTCCCTATTATCGTGATGTCAAAAGATCAAGTTAGTATACGTACCTTAAACTGTTTAGGAAATATATGCATGTTGGTCTTAAGAAATTTGAGTTAAGACTAAAAATGAACTTTAAAACCCGTTTGATCCCAGTGATCTTGGAAAATGTTGTTATTCAACAAAAGTCACAATTTGTATTCACCAGTCTTCACAAAATAACTGAGTCAAGCCATATTTAAATTTGACCTTTAAATAAAGAAAAGTCTATTAAAATTGACAATTTTTTTGATTGCCTGTTATAAATACAAGCCACACACAAAATATGAATTACTTCAGAGACGTATATTTATTACAGAGAATATCTGGCTTTATATATGTCTTTGATTACTCTGACTGTCCATTCGGAGAAAAAACATTTAAAAATTACCTACAAACGACAAACAATTATCAGAGACGTACATGTCTCAACCTTATACTGGAGTTGGTCGCTGATCTTGTAAAATATAATCGTTTTCGGGGGAAAAGTTGCGTATCTTTCCATTAGGAAATATGTTGGTTTTAAGGGATATGTTTTCTACATCTTTACCCTGTGACCTTTCATTGTATATTAACTTCTCTGGTTCAATTAGCCTAATTAAAACTTCCTTTTGTCATATCTGTACCAAATATTCGCGATCCAGACGGTTAGACCCGAGTTGCTCGCTTATAAAATAATGTTGGACCAGAGACGTATTATACGTCTCTGGACCTAGTAATCTGATGTTGCTTTCAGAAGCTTCATTAAACGAACTACACTATTATCAGGCCAACCTAAGCGATAAATAGTTCGGTTGCCTACGCAGTAGCATATAGTCGATAAGGGCACTCAACATCCGATTTACCGCAGAAATGTATATATAAACTTACATACAAATAATTCTAAATTAATGTGATAAATTATTGTTAACTCATACGTGTTAAAAATCATTAGCAACAATATAATTATCATCATGACAAATTTATTCACGATTTCCCCCAGTGATTTACTCCGAATGACATATACATTCCAACAGAACTTCCGGTGTCGGTTTTACCCATCAAAGCAGTCAAAATGATGGAATTAAATTTAACACGAGTGGACTACATGCAGGTTTGACATTGATTAAGCGTTTATGCATATGTATCTGGTATGGCAAATGCAATGAAAGCCTCGACATTAACTGTAGTACACAGAGAAAAGAAATATTTGACGATGTCTTATACAATGTCCTTTGCCCAAATCAACTTTTTCCAAACAACAATAATGTTTTCCCTTCTATTATCTACAACATAACTTGCAGGTGTGAGTGCAATTGTTGCAATCTACAGGACCAGATGCCATTGGAAATATCCTCTGTGTAACATCCAGCCGCAAAAAAATGAAATCAATATACACTCCATTACTTGCACAGTGGGAAGACAACTGGAAAATGTCATTCCATCCTGACAAGTGTAATTTCATGTCAATAACTAGAAATAAGTCCCCTGTCAAATTCCATTACACTTTAAATGGTCATTCGCTCCAACATGAAGATGATGCCAAATATCTGGGCCTTAACATTCAATCTAACCTCAAGTGGGACACTCATAAATAAAGACTGTGCAAAAGCCAACTCCACCCTAGGCTATCTTCGTAGAAATCTTAAAATAGGTTCCACATCTCTCAAGGAAAATGCATACAAAGCCCTCGTCAGACCATCTCTTGAATATGCATGTACTGTATGGGGCCCCGACAATAAGACAGACATCTAACAAATAGAAATGGTGCAACGTAGAACTGCTCGGTATGTCACAAACAGGCACCGGAACTTGTCCAGCGTACGTTGGTGACATGCTGAATACGCTGGGCTGGCCCTCACTAGAAAAAAGATGCAAGGATATGTGCCTAAGTACCTTCCATAAGATTGTACACAACCAATTAGCCATATCCATGGACATCTTAAAGTCCCCATCACGTCTCACCAGGCATGCCCATGCTCATTCATTTCAAGTACCTTCTTCCCACGAACAATATCTGATTGGAACTGCCTCCCTCCAGACATCTGTGAACTTAATCAAATAACTGCCTTCAAATCCGCCATAGCTAAATTACCATAAATCCCTATTTATTCATTTATTTATTTAATTATATAGCTATTTACTTATTTATTTTTTCCCTCCTTATGCAATGATCTCCAAATAACATAATCTTCAACTTGTTGAAGGCGGTTATTATAATGTAGAAATATAAGTAGAAGTAGACACTACTCATAAACAAAGTTGATTCAGGCATTGGTTGTTTTGCTATTGAGGTTATAGAATATATTAATGACGTTTTGCCAGACGATATGATTTCTATAATCTGACATATACCAATTTTGTTAACTTCTTTCGTTGTATCTATAATGCTTTGCATCCTCGATTCTCTAAGAGTAGGGCTCCCGAGTTTCCTCTGGCCCTTACACCAGACTTAGACATTTTGATCTACAGATGTCTGGTGTGGGGCCAGAGCTCACTGCTATATGAAAACAGGGAATTCTCCGACGCTGTTTGGTATCAGAGCGTTATGAGGTGCTGACAACAAAACTACTATGACACAACACATACCTCACATATATCGATAAATGGATTATTTATTGATCCAAATCAGCTCTTATAATCACCAACAGCTGCTAAATTCCATTGGTATAGAGTCTTTGATTTTTAATCGTTCAAAATTTCCCACCTGAGCGAACACCATTTTTGTAGGTTATGGGAACTCCGCTGCTGGTCGGCCTTTTTTCTATCGGATAGGATTTTGCCGACTGCGACCCGCACCTGTCAAAAGTATCTCACTGTGTAAACCTCTAACACTGTTGGAGTAGGTTATGGGGTGACTAATCAACAAACCGTACTGATGCAGTCCAAAAATGGGATATATTATTCTTGTTAAGAAGATTTCCAGACCACGTCTTTTTGTTGATTAGTACCCCCCCCCCAATACCAAACAGTGTCGGGGGGAGAATTCCACATTTTCATATAGCAGTACGCTCTGGCCCCACACCAGACATCTACATGTCAAAATGTCTAAGTCTGGTGTTAGGGCCAGAGGAAACTTGGGCTACTCCAGGGTTACGCTCTCTTTCACTCTCTGCACCCCTTGGATATGTCACAGCAAAAGTGATGCTGACACCTGTCCTTTGAAGCCTGAAGAGGAGGGACCCCTGACTTCGAAGCCTGTCACTTTTACCGTTACACAACCACAAGGTTCTTTTGATGTACACAAAGGATCAAACTAGTCTTCTAAGTTCTTGTCTTGTCAACAAGGGGGTGCAGACTTTACCTTAGATTTTGCTATGATATATTCTTTGGGTGCAGAGAGCGACAGTGAGCATAACCCCTGGAGTATCGAGGATGAATGTATCACAGAAAACTTAATTGTTTGCAGGAGTATTCGATCATCATACCTTTGGTTGTTATTCTTGTTTCCCCAAGGAGCGTGCAATACTATGATTTAGAGCATTTTGTCAGTCAGCCTTTTTTACACTGACACTGACTGCTTCACACCCACTAGTTTGAAAGTTTGGTTAATTGGAATGGTAGTTTCTATACTTGTAAATAGGATGTTACAGCAGACAAAAACCAAACAAAGTACTGGATTGAAATGTTAGTATAGTATACTTGCCAAAAATGAGTTTGATTCTAGTTTGCATTTTAATAGATGCATTTCATTCCAGGCTGGAGCAACCTCACAAAAATGTATGTGTCTCCTGCCACCTGTCTTAGGGAAATCACAAAAGGTAAGTTTATACTGATCAGTGTCGTGAGATGACATCACAAGAAAACATTGAGGATAAATTGATATAATGTATACTATCTTAAAATTTTGTTAAAAAATAAGCATGGTACAAGTTATGATAAGTTTGTTGTCATTGAAGGTTGTGATCGGCGATCAGGAGGGCTTGTTTCAGTGTATAGGAATGAAGAAAGGAGAACCACAGGTTTGTGTATATTGTTATACATGTACAAAAACAACTGGAGACATTTAAAATATGAAATACATTTCAACTGACTTTTCAAAAAATGTGTTAATCAAATTATTAGCATCATATTAAGTAACAATATTAATAAATGAAAATGTTTTCTTTCGAATTCACCCATGGTTTTTTTCGATGAAGTTAGCTTGCTACTGATTTACTTTTACACCAGAAGTATATGCCAGGCCCAGCTAATGTACCAGGTGACCACCAATATACGTCACTTTTATTCTGGAAACTTGTACCTTGGAAACGTTGTATTGTCATAAAGATAGAACTAATACCATGGTAGATAGAGTGTAATTTCTGGAGGAAGAAAATATATTTTTGATACCTATTGTGTCATAAGAAAGGCATTGTGAGGTGTACCATATCTAGCTGTAATATAAGTTGTCATCTTAGCCCTGCTTAATATTTTATTCTATGTATCTTGGCTTCATAGAAAAGCTGTCACTTTTAGTTAAGATGTGTAGTATATCTAGATCTATTGATATAGATTGGACAGTTTTTAAAAAGTTTTCCTTGTTGTAGCATGTATTCAAGACAAATGTTTCGAAGAAAATCAATCGGATAGAACTTGGAGGACCAATTGGTGGAACTCGTGAGCGAATTTTTCTCGCAGTTGGTTCTGAAATCAATGGATTTACAAAGAAAGGGAAGAATTTTTTAAAGTTTGACACTAACCTGTCGGAACCCATTCAATCCATGTAAGTCTACATTTGCTGAAAAATGTCAATTTATGTTACATTAACTGCATGTGTGGATTCCAGAGTCTGTCTGATAACACAACCAAACAACCTTTCTGGGGTGTTGAATTTTGAAATTAGTTTTTACAAGTGAAATTTTTATGATAGTATATCGAATTAAAGTCCTGAAATGAAAATTGAATAATTTGCATTAAAATAAAGCTAAACATTAAGTTCAATGTATCAACATCTGAAAACACAGATTAAAGATTAAATCTTTTCGACTTTACCAATTCTATATTATTTATAGAAAAATCTGCCATATATAATCTTAACTTATTTAAATTATTGGTACAAAAATTTCAATAGCACTTATCTGCATGGTCAAGGACAATCTGATAAACGGTGTGTGGTTCTGTTTGTTATAAATCTCTTAATGCAAACAGAACTGACTTTTACACAGTATGTATAAACCAAGAGCCCAACACTTATATTCTGGTAAGTAAATGATTGGCGGGTATCCTTCCGTAGAGGTTCAAGTACCAGCATGTAAAGAAAACCACAATATAAAATGTACATGTATGTGCGGTATATACTCTATGATGTATTCTGTTTCGTATTTCAGATACGTCGAAGGATCTGAGTTATTGACATGTAGCAATTTTGTGTATAACCAGTATCATGATTGTAAAGACACAAATTATTTCCAATCTGGTGACAAGATTTCGGATATTGTTTGTCTGCCGATGGACCGGAACCCGGAAATCACCCCTATCCTTGCTTGTCAGGATCGTGTGCTCCGAGTTCTCCAGGTGTGTACCAATGAATCTGAAAATAAAGATTTTTGACATACATTATTTGACCCTATAAGGCCATCAGTTATAATTTATAGAATAAGAAAATTTCAGACATTTTCAAATTTTCCAAAAACAGCAATAATGATCAATAGACAGATCCCTTGATAAAAGATTGTGAAGTATCAGATGCTCCGACCAGAAAAAGGATAAGGGCGCTTATAAAAGATGGGACATTTACTAGGTTGAATACAGTAAGTGTATGTATTTAAGAATGTCTAAATATTGTTATACCCGCACTTAGTAAGGGGGGGGGGGGGGGGGGGGGTATGTTATAGCATTCACCATGTCAGTGCCTCCATCCATGTGTGCATCTGTGTGTTTGCCGGTAGTAAACATCTTGTGTAGAAAATATCTCATGGACCATTGAACGCATTTAGTTCATATTTATTAACATCATGGTTTGGTAATATTCAGTTCTTCACCTGATTAGGTTTTGGTTTTCATCGGTCAAAGGTTAAAGGGTCAAATGTCACTAGCAAAGTGAGTTGGAGAGGATTGAGGGTGGCAAGGGGTGGGCTAGTGTTTGGGCTATATCGATGTGAGCCTCTGCTCACTTGGTTTCAATTTTTTCTGCTGCCCTTTATTATAGTTCTTTTTCAAATTCATAAATTAAAATGTGACATAAATTGGAACAACTACTAGCATTATTTTCACCCAGGGCTGTCCCTAGATAAACAGTATCTGCAAAGGGTTTTTTCACCTTCGTATGTAGAGGACTAACACAATTACGGCCACTGTCAGCCAGAAATGAACCCCCACCTACCAGCACACCACAGCCTCTGATGCTGATAACTAATTGCTGTAATATTTCGTTTCCTGTACAGGAATCGGAGCTGTTGTACGAGGTGGAAGTGCCTGGTCCTCCGACTGTGTTACAGCTATACGGTGATGGAGCAGGTAAGTTTACCTACAACCCACAGATCTAGATGATAATGGAAGTGATTGGACAAGAGGGTTGGGTGGGGGGGGAGATGATCTGATCTAATGATGGTTGGGTTAAAAAAGACAATCATCTCCACCCCAAATCCCCTCCCGTCCAATCACTTCATACTATCCTGGTTCTAAGGGTTGTGGAATTAAATTTGTCATATACATGTAAAATGAAATGATTTATCTACCTGCCCAAACTAAGGATGTTTAAAGATGAAAGACAGATCACGTAAGGTGACTCCGACTATTTTTCAATATTAGCTGCAATGATGATATAAAATTGGCAATATATAGAACATAATAAATGACTGATGTTTGCAGAGTTTAGAAAATATGAAGTAAAATTACTTTAAGGGACTTTTTTACCAGGTCAATCGCCTTGGGTTTAAATTTAATTTATTGTGTGATCACATACGTTGGTTATTGTATAGACTCTATAGACCTCTGGCTAGTTTCTTCATTTAGTGTTTCTTTGTATTAAGGAATATGTATAAAACAGAAACCTGTCAATTCTAAACCTGGTTGTGATGTTCTGTGTAGAGAGATTTCATTGTACCTTCACTGTATTTAGAGCTGTAATGTTAGACTATGGACATCATTATTCCACAGGAGAGGATGGTAACGAGATATTGTACGGGACTTCTGATGGCAGAGTGGGACTGGTACAGATAAGCAGGTAAGTCAAACAACTCTTTCTTCAGAAATCTGTCAGTTATTTTTCACAAAAAGCGAGGAAAAGTTAAGGAAAGCTTTTTTTATTTTGTTGTGTCAATAAAGCGAAAAAGAAGACTTGAAATGTTGCTTTTCTGTCAGTGTCATGATTCGATAATATACGACATATCGTTGCAGCCCTAATATATTGTGACCTTTGTACTGGTTCAGCACTAGGGCCCGTATTCATGAAACCGTTTTCATGCTCGAGCATGGATTCTGTGCTCAAATCAGTGTTCTTGTTACTCACTTAAATCATGTAAAACAATCAAAAGGTCAAATGTAAACATTGAAAAAAGCATTCAGCTTGATGTCTTTTCATATTTTTTCCAAATCATTGAAAAAGTAAGATTTTTTTATCAATATATAACTGAAACAAGAAATTAGGCTGGAGCAAAAAAACGATGCTTGAGCATGAGAACAGTTTCATGAATACGGGCCCTGTAATTGGTACCTGTAATTGGTACCTGTAATTGGTACCTTGTAGCTGACTGAATACGGGCCCTGTAATTGGTAGCTTGTAGCTGACTGAATACGGGTCCTGTAATAGGTACCTTGTAGCTGACTGAATACGGGTCCTGTTATTGGTACCTTGTAGCTGACTGAATACAGGTCCTGTAATTGGTCCCTTGTAGCTGACTGAATACGGGTCCTGTAATAGGTACCTTGTAGCTGACTGAATACGGGTCCTGTAATAGGTACCTTGTAGCTGACTGAATACGGGTCCTGTTATTGGTACCTTGTAGCTGACTGAATACAGGTCCTGTAATTGGTCCCTTGTAGCTGACTGAATACGGGTCCTGTAATAGGTACCTTGTAGCTGACTGAATACGGGTCCTGTTATTGGTACCTTGTAGCTGACTGAATACAGGTCCTGTAATTGGTACCTTGTAGCTGACTGAATGCGGGTCCTGTAATTGGTACCTTGTAGCTGACTGAATGCGGGTCCTGTAATTGGTACCTTGTAGCTGACTGAATGCGGGTCCTGTAATTGGTACCTTGTAGCTGACTGAATGCGGGTCCTGTAATTGGTACCTTGTAGCTGACTGAATGCGGGTCCTGTAATTGGTACCTTGTAGCTGACTGAATTCGGGTCCTGTAATTGGTACCTTGTAGCTGCCTGAATACGGGTCCTGTAATTGGTACCTTGTTGCTGACTGAATACGGGCCCTGTAATTGGTTCCTTGTAGCTGACTGAATACGGGCCCTGTAAGTGGTACCTTGTAGCTAACTGAATACGGGTCCTGTAATTGGTACCTTGCCGCTGACTGAATACGGGCCCTGTAATTGGTACCTTGTAGATGACTGAATACGGGCCCTGTAATTGGTACCTTGTAGCTAACTGAATACGGGTCCTGTAATTGGTACCTTGCCGCTGACTGAATACGGGCCCTGTAATTGGTACCTTGTAGCTAACTGAATACGGGTCCTGTAATTGGTACCTTGTTGCTGACTGAATACGGGCCCTGTAATTGGTACCTTGTAGCTGAATGAATACGGGTCCTGTAATTGGTACCTTGTAGCTGGCTGAATTCGGGTCCTGGAATTGGTACCTTGTAGCTGACTGAATACGGGTCCTGTTATTGGTACCTTGTAGCTGACTGAATACAGGTCCTGTAATTGGTACCTTGTAGCTGACTGAATATGGGTCCTGTAATTGGTACCTTGTAGCTGACTGAATGCGGGTCCTGTAATTGGTACCTTGTAGCTGACTGAATTCGGGTCCTGTAATTGGTACCTTGTAGCTGACTGAATACGGGTCCTGTAATTGGTACCTTGTAGCTGAATGAATATCCAGTATCAGGTGATAATTCATGCTAAATGTGTAATGCATTTATGTTGAATGAACTCAAACGTGTGACTTTGCCCACAAATATTTAGAGGCTTTTAGGAGAAAGAAAGTGTGAACTTTTAACGGTTTAATACATTAACTCCTTCATTTCTGACTCTCTACAAAAAATATTTATGTCACTTATCTTTTATATTGAAGATTATGCCCATCGCACAAGTGGGAATTGCCTAATGAAAAGAGAAATGGAGGTAGGTTGTAACTTGTAACTATTTTGACTCTTAATAAATACATAACTGCTTGCTTTGTAGGTCCCTTAAGGTTACATGCTACCTTACGCCGTGATTTTTGTCAGAGTTATCTCCCTTCATTTGTGAAATTGTGTTTAATATGGAGATATCTTCCTGATTGCTTAATTAAATTCATTTTATCAATGAAAAGTATCAGATTGTTCCAAGCATTAAATTTTGTTTCCTCGACGGGATACTGGGCCTGTTGGTATACTAGGCCTGTTGTTGGTGTTGTTTATAAACAACGGGTCTGTTGTAGGTGTCATGTGTATGGACAACTTTGACATCACGGCGGATGGCGTCCTTGATCTGTTGTTGGGACGAGATGACGGCCAGGTGGAGGTTTACAGTTACGACGAGTCGGAGGAACCAGTTCACAGATACAGTCATGTAATTATCTCAATTACGGCCGTCACATTAATCCTGTGCAGATTCAGGGAATAGGCCTGTTGTATCCCATGCATGAGCGTAAGAGGCGACTTATATGTCCCCCACCCTCTGCAGAATTGGGAGGGATTTCTCCCTTGTCTTTTGTTTAGGGGACATTGAAGACCCTGGCTGTTGTGAGGAGGTTAAACCCCTAACAAACACACAAACAAAGCCATCACATTAGGTCATTTGGGTCATTATTTTGTTACACTCACATATTTGCTACCTAATATTTGAAATAAATCAAGTTATGTTAGATATACAGTTTGTAGTATCAACACTGACATTCACTCGATGTAAATATTGTTTAGGTAAATTGGAGTTATCATCTCGTATAAACTTACCATAGAACGTGACAAGTTTCCATGACCTAGACAACAATACTCATCGACAAAATTATAAAACTTTTACACAAAGGGAACACATTTGTGTGATATCAGCCGTAGTAAATGTGGGCTGAGTAATTGCTGTAAATATAAGGAACATTTTGCTATTTCATGTCATAGATGGCTTCATGATCTGTTCATTTTACATGTTTACTCAACTGGAGTAATCGTCTCATAACCAAAATAGGAAACTATTCCTTAAGGATCCCTGTCCCACTGCACTGCCATTTTTTCTATATACAGTAACCTCCCCTTAACTTCCTCATGGATATTACTGTAGCAGACTTTAGGCTTGTACACTTTGATTGACCAGGTAGCTCAATCGGTTACAGAAATAGTAAAACAATCTGAAGTCCAGGGTTCAAGTCCTTGTCTTGCCCCGCTGATTTTTTTACAATCAGAACACTCCTGTGGTATATATATTTTTTCCATCCTTATTATTTTTCATGAAAGTCCTAGGCACAAGGTATATTGGTTTTCTTTTCAGAAATGATTTATCAAAGCTATAGTCAGGATGGAAAAGTTTATAATCTTAAGGTTAAAGTTTTTGGCAGTGGTACAGAGATCCTTAAGTAGATCTCATAGTTAATTTAGATAATTCACAATCTGTCATTGCATTAATAGCTTTCCATTAAAATTTAAAAAAAAAAAAAAAAAAAAAAAAATTGAAAGCATTTTTACTTTTACACTGTAAGCTTTAATTTCTTTTACTATTACCAAAGTAAGAAATAAAAATTACATGTGACTAAGCTCACGCAAAAAAACCTGTTCTCAATTAAAAGCTTTCATAAATTAAGCTGTAAAGTCCTGTCTCAGGTCCATTCGTCCACATCTCTGATTTAACATTACAGACATGCAGCGAAAGTGTGACGGCCATACACGCTGGCGTTGTAGCTACCCAAGGCTACGACGAGATTGTCTGTTCTACTTATCCAGGTAAGACATCGATTAGCAAAAATGGCGTAACATACTTGAAATGTTTAGGAGTTTTGGTCTTAAAATTAGAATATTAGAATATTTCAAATTACATACAATCTCTGACCATTTTTATCATCCATGAATGATGAATGAATGACTGTAATAAAATCCTTCCAAAAACTAAACAGTATATTCACATGCAGTACAGCTATTGATTGTAAATTATATCCGAATTTTTCAAATGCTGTTATGATATTTGTATTACAGCATATTGATATTTTATTAATATTTTACACATGAACATGCATACAAAGATGTTATTTTTGTTTTAAATGTACCATATTCTTTTATTGTTTGATGCTTGTATCAATGAATTTTGAAGAAAAAAATGTATAATGTGAAATTACTAATTATCATGAGGTTTTAAATTTCGTTGATTTCATGGGTAATCTTCATCCACGAATGTATTGGTCCACTAAATAATTACAAGTTTGATATAAAGCAACTCTACATTTGAGTGGGTACTCATAACCCAAAACCTCATGTACCCATGGTGTTTTGTCAGGAAACCACGAAAATAGGGATCCCACAAAAAATTCTGATTTCACAGTGTACATGTATATATGATATACCTATCTTTTATTTTGGTATACAATGTTGATATCCACTGCTGCTGCTGCTGTTGATTTCAGGATGGCTTTTCAGCCTTACCTCCGAGCCTCATATCAAGACTGTAGGCCCGCAAACATCCCAGGTCCTCACTTTTGAGGGCAAGGATAAAATTATAGGGCTTAGGTAACACTTCAGGCACTCTTCCCACTTTGTTACTGCTTTCCTTGCAAAAACAGATCAAAAGAAAACGTTCTCATGACTTTTACTGTCAGTGAAAAGGGCCAGGAGGATTTTGAAAACAATTCTGTATATCTCTTAATTTGATACAGTTAAACCTCGATATAATGCCTCTCGTTTAATTTGCCACCTCACTTTCAGCCAACACATTTCAATGTCCCTTTTACTTGTTTTCTAATGCATTCCTTCATACAGATCTGTACATTTCTCTCAATTTATCGCCAAACCCCTTTACAACGACAAATTTTCTCTGGACATATGGTGCCAGTATGACGAGGTTTTAATGTATATGAAATTGTTAGATAAAATAATCAAAGATACAGTGCTCAAATGGGTGAAAAAAAATGAAAAAAATATGAAAACAAAGAAAACTGAAGAATTAATACAAAATGAGAATTTATTATGACATGTTCATATATTTAAAAGAGTTAAGAGGATTTTTAACACAGGTGATCTCTATATAGAGGCGGTCACATGAACAGGTTTGACAGTATATTTCAGACTGTTTCTAAAAACACTGTTAAACTGCTAATGTAAAGAATGATGAATGTCATAACTAAACGTTCATGGTCATTGGAACGTTTTCTTTTGATCTGTGGGTTTTGAATTTTGCAATTATATTTCATCTTGTTTTTATTCCAATTCTCAACCATATTCTATGGTGTTCCCTCACGTCTGAGTGCGTTCCTGAATTTGAAGCCATTACCATTCACAGAATATTAGAGATTTTAGTTGTCAGTTTCTAGCTAAAAAAAGTGTAATATTTTGTTTAATGTTAGAGGTAAGATTCATGCCCAGTTACTTTCTGCCCTAATCTGCAAAAAAATCAGTACGATGATATCTATAAAGTGTATTTATTATTGCTTGAACATTTCTTCAGGTATGATAACATTTTCTTAAATTAACACAGAGATTGATTTTATAATTTTACTAGTTATAGGATGGAATTTTTATAAATGATTCCAACTTTATGGATTTATCAGATTATTAAAAACAGATTGTTTTTAAAATCATTAGCAACATTAATATAATTTTTATTTTTATGTCTGTTTTTTCCCCCAAAAAATATCTTGGACTCCATTGGATATTGGTTTAAAAAAAAAAAAAAAATCCCACAAACATGAAGTGTTATATTTCTTTCAAATTGGGTTCCCTGTATTTATTAAATGGTCATTATGGTTAAAATTTCCTACTTGGCACTTGTTGTAAGATTAGGATGTATGAATAACAGGGTTAAAATTGATTTTTTTTAATTTCTTTACTATTTCTCTAAACCCTATGAAAATTAAAAAAAACAAAACAGAAAAGATTATTACAAATTATGTACAAATTATTCTGATATCTATATAAATGATTAATTAATTCTTTTTAATGTTTGAAAATAAAATCATTTAAGTAAAAAGAACTTTCTTCTTAAAGGTCACTTAAAATATATTCAATTCACCCCTTGTAGGTTTACGTTACCGGTGGGACATTTTGTCGAAGCTGTTGATTTTGGTGTTTTCTCATATGATGGTGGTTGAAGTGTGGAGTTTCATTTACCAGTATATATATTTGTTTTCCTATCACAAAGCGTGTTTAATTTGGATTTTTTATTATAAAAAAAAAATCAGAATACATCTCTGAAATCACATAGTTGATTGAAATCTAATTGACACCTAATCATATAAAATGTCATTTCCCATCATATCCTAATGTCTTTATCCTGTCCAGATGTCTGCAAAAAGACATATTTTAAGTAACAAAAATTCATACTTATTCAGGATTTGTTATTGAAATTTACACTGTCAACAACAACAACAAAATGTCTTTACTAAGAATTCAATGAATTTAGAAGCAAATTATGAAACAGATTTCAAGATGTTCCCTTATAATTTGCTTTAAACTGAAACAGGATAGTAATGTTACACTCTGAATTAATTTTTACTTTCATTTTTTTCATATTAACAATTGTGACATGTATTACATTTTAAAATGTAATTTATCACATTTCCCTCTGGCACCAATACAACCAAAATTTTATAACATCCAAAATATCCCAGATATTATGGTACAAGCTATGTTTTAAATAGTTTAGTCATTAAAACATTTATATAAAAATAATCGTTCCGAACATTTTTCATGTTTGTTGATATAAATTTAATTTATAATTTGTTTTAGCAATGTATATTGGATTTTTTTTCCAATTTGGAATAGTCTTCAGGGCTAGACAATAGAGGTATCCCGATAGTCTGAGACTAGTGAAATTTCCAGTTGGACTAATGGTTCTAATCCTAGCATAACAACTATTATCCCTGGTAGCAGGCTAGTGTAATTGTAGAATCCTGAATTTTGTGGACCCGATCACCTATTGGTCAAAATTAGATAATTGCTTATCTTGTTGAATATTTGAATAATGTTAGGTTAGCGGAATTTGCATATGGACTATTAAAAATTGAAAAATACTAACTAGTGGTATTCAAAATTAATTTCTGGCCCTGGTATAATACAAATTTTAGTTGATAGATACACAAATTTCATTTATATATAGACACTTTTTTTATTCCTAATACATTGTAGTAGTTTTTGCATATTTAAAATTTATTTAATTCTTATGCTTGTAATATTATGCTCTATAGCTCAACAAATGATACCAAGTGTGGATTGTAGTGCCGAACACCAAATAGATAATGGCTTTGTTAAGGTTATAAGTTTACTCGACTACAGCATGCAACTCCACTACAGGAGAGCTCCATGTTTATGCATTAAGTGCACTGGGAACAAATGGTTACTGACTTACAGGTTTACTGATGGAGGGGCACATGATTTCATACCCGTAGACCAATAATCCCTGAAGATGTTTATCTTTAATGATTGTGATTTCACTTAACTTCACAGGATTGACCATTCTGTTCTGTCCAGTTCTCATAACGGTTTTCAGGCACATTTTAGGTCGTAACTGAAAGCAATTTCACCAAAGAATTTCAAGAGCAAATTTTCTCTCTCAAAAAAATGCAGACTAAGCAATTGTTGACAACATTTGAAACCTTCAAAATCTCACTCAAAACAGGAAGGTGGGCTTAATATAGAGCAATATAATAGTATTTTTTGGCATTTTTTACTTAACAGCAATATATATGGGTGGGCTTATTACCAGGCATGGGCTTATTGGTGGATAAATACGGTACATGTATCACCTTACTTCAAAAGAAATGTATTAAATGTCCCTCGGTTGAACTTAACTCACTTACCCCTGAAATCTCATAATGAACTGTTCCAACTTTTGATTTGGAAGAGTTCAAAGGTGTCTTTAGGTGTAAATGAGATAATTTGACAATACTAGACAACCTATGAGGTGTATGAAATCTTGTACCTTGACTCTGTAGCTTGTGTATCTATGGTGTTGTGATATACATATGATATTTATCTCCTCCATTTATACATTCTGTACTGTTTCTTTGGTGAGTCATTGGATGTAGTCTCTATATATACATCGCACAACATATCAGGGGTGCGTTATAGTACTTTTCTATTCTTTAAGGCAGACACACATAAATAAAATATAGGCTTGACTTATAGGTTATTTACAACATTCAATGAGGACAACCAGGCTACCAGTAGGACACATGTAACAATTTTATGGAAAATTCTGAAAAATAATCTTGGAAGAAGAGATACTGATGTTTCATAAAATCCTAGAATTGATAGCCTCGTTTTGATTTAAAATCAGGAAAGACAACTATGTTTACTTCTGTGCTGCTGGTATTGTGAAATGGGACTATTTTTCTGAACATTTAGATAGTCATACAAATGTAACCAGGAGTTATTTTTCAGATGAAAAAGGGGCCATATATTTTAAATGGAGAATGCAGTGGCAGTACAAGTTTTGTATTCAAAATCTGAACATAACGTTTCCAGCTTCTGACTTATTATAAAGGCGTTAACTATTAAAGGATGAAGTTTCTATATTATAAGACTTTGACCTTATATACGTATTTCCGTTAATACAGAAGGCTACTGAATTATAACCCGTGGTTAACGAGAATGGTAAATTATCAGGTACTTTTGCATGTTTGGAATGTTTTTATCAATATGCAAATGATATGCAGCGGTATTAATTTAAGTCGAAATCTGCAAAAGCTAATTTATTAGTAAACCTGCGTCTGACAAAACAGCCCGCTAGCGATTACTACGCCTCTGGTGTTATTACGGTGCCGTCTAATAGCCGTGACTAGAACGAGTGTTTGTGACGATATGCCAGTACGTTTACATGTGTGTGAATGCTCTATCTCCTCGCTGTGACAGGTTGGTTGATAGGTCTAACATCAGAGCAACTGACAAAAGGCATGGGCCCATCAGAGGTTGTTGTCACGGCAGCAGCGACCAACAAAATCTCCAACCTCAAGTAGGTCGTCTCCATGGTAACAGTCAAATATGACCATAACAGAAAATCACTCTAATTTAACTTAAAACATATTATTCCCTTTGATCCACATCCTACAGTTCATGTTGTATGTGGTTTAATATACATAGACCCAATATATAATTGTTAACATTAGTATATGGCCATACGCATACAATGTGGCACTGTTATTAAATCTATTTCAAGAAGATTTATCTGCTATTATGATTATGAGTTATAATAATTAACCACATTTTAGTATTTGTTTCAGCAATCACATTATATAGGCTTCATATTATATTAATCACATTAGAAAACAAATTACAGTACTAAAAAATTCACGTCACAATTAGAATCCTAACTTTGCACTTTTAAAATTCTAACAATTTTTGTTTATTTCATATATATATATATATTGCTTACCACTTTATTTTAATCCTTTTTTCATATGTTTTTGTTTTATTTTATGATATTTTAAGAAATTTTATTTAAGCAAATTGTATGTTCCATTTTATAGATAGTTATTGTAATTTTATTTCTTAACATGATTTAAATATTGAAATTGAATATGACTAGTTTGGGCAGACAAAACACTTTTTTAACATGAATAAAAAATAAAAATAAATATTTGAAATGTATCTTTCAGTATTTAGAACTGAAATATGATTTTGAAATCTTTTCATTCAAGATGTAGGATGCAAAAAGAACTTATTTTTTTCTTTCTCTATACATGTATATTTGTGTGTGTTACATAAGTTAATCATTTTGATTCCCAGTATTTAAATATTTTGTTTTCAGTTATAATGATTATGAAAATATTATTTACTCAAATTTTACTGTAATGATGGAGTCATTCAGCTACCAATCTTTTGTAAAACAGACTCTGAGACATCTTCAAAAACAATTCAGCTCGTAAAATGATCATTTAAAAAAACACAAAAAAACAGGGTATATTGATTTTCATTATTTCAAAAAATCTGCAAATTTCAAAGATCTAAATATTTTGATTCCAACTAGAAAGAAAAGCACCATGTATCAATATACATCAAAATAGAACCTCATTGTCCACAATACATAATTATGTTGTTTTAAAAAAAGTCTATTAAATGGACTTAAGATAAAAAAAAAACTACCAATTTCATAAATTGTTTGGACTGTCCCTGCTATTCAAGGTAATTTCAGCTGGAACTTAATGCTATATTAACACTAGATACCTATATTTCCATATAGCAAAAATTACCTGTTCAGCACATCAAAGAATCACACTCATTGATCATGTGATAATCAAAGCTTAAAAAACAGCAATTGCTATAGTGTCCCATTTATGAAAAAGCAGGAAGTTTTTTTTTCAAATTAAGATAGTAATTGGTATTTATTTATTAATTAAATAGAAATAAGATAATTCCAAGGATCATTTTGTAATTTCACTTAGAAGAAATAGTTTCTGAAAATAAGTTATATCGACTGAAAGTAAGCATTACTTACTGAAGTAGATATATGAAATAAAGTTTCACCGTTTTTGTTATCTGAATATTTAACGCAATTTTAAATATTTCATAATCAAAAATTAAGCATACCGGTAATACTTTTTAATATTCAATTGGCTTACATATTTAAGTTGCTCATAAATTTATGCTAGACTTCTGTAATATATTGTAACTCTCTATTAGAGATAACACCTTATTTAGACATGCCTAAACGTTGAGTGATGACTTGTTCAGGTCAGAGCTTGATAACCTCCAGCAGAAGGTCCTGGACGAGCGGGAAAAGTACCAGCAGACGGCCAATAGTCAGACGGCCATATCAGCCATACCTAACTTCAACACCAACGACAAATTTGTCCTCAATCGGGAAGATGCCAGTTATACTCTCAGTCTGGAGTTACAGATGCCCATTGACAATATATTACTTCAGGTAATCCATCATCATCCAAATCCAAGTGTTTCCTAGATGTGCATATCTTTTTTTTCACCCATGGTTTACGTCATCACGAAATTGAAGGCTTGTGGTGAGCTATTTAATTGGATTTCAGTTATAAATACAAATGAATACAGATATTGCCTTATTATTATGAAATGGCCTACTCAACATAGTGCAAATTCACATATTCTTGCTTGAATACAAAAATAACACTGAAATAAACTGAATATGGGTTTAATGCCGGAGAAGTATGGATCTTGTCTTAGAATCTTGAAATGGCCTACTCAACACTGTAAATTCACAATTTCTCCCTTGAATACAAAAACAACACTGTGAAATAAAACCATGATTACATTACTTCCGGATATCTACGGCTGTTACCTTTTATGAACTTACATTTATGGCCATATAATATCGAACACTGGTTCTCCCTTTGTTTTCTTCAAATACTAAGTATTAGACTTTATTCTATGCTTTTTGCATTAAATAATTTGAATTTTGATACAGAGTGATGTGCCCATAGATCTGTTGGACGTGGAAAAGAATTCGGCTGTGGTCAGCTACAGTTCCTGTAACCCAGAGGTGAGTATAGATGACATCTTAAGGATCCCCGCACCAGAAACTGTAACTAAGTACTGTATAGGGAGACATGTTTCGCTCAGTCAAACTTTCCCCTTTACATTACTGTGTATGTTATGTTGTTAACCTATAACCATCATCCTGTAGAGGGAAAAAAGTGGGAACAAATGCAGCAAACATTCTCTGGTATAGAATATTTCAAACTGTGTTTCCGGCATGATGATAGCTTTACTAAATCATTTCTGAAAAGTAAGCTTTACTAAACCATTTCTGAAAAGAAAACCATACCTTGCAGGATTTTTATAAGAAGTAATAAAGATGAAATAAACAAAGTATAATCAACAACAGTGTTCCGAGTTTAAATCTTCAGCGAGGCTAGACCAGATTCGAACTCCAGACTTAAGATCCTCACACTTTTACTCTCATTGATTGACAGATTTGATTGTATTTCTAATGACATTACAATGGAAAAAGAAATAATACCATCAATAAAATCATAGGCTTTGTGTATGGACAATGGAATCTGCTCCTTAACTTCTCAAAGGCAGTATATTTGTTTGAGAAACCTGGTCGTGGAAAGCATTTTGACTACCCATTGTGTACATACCAGGCTGTAAGTTCTGAAGTAGAAAAGGACACGGAAGAAATCTTAATTCAAGTTATCGCAATGTGACATTGTGGTGTAGATGACAGGCATTACTTAACAATATACAGTCAAACTTCCATAAATCAAACTTCGAAGATTTGAATTTCGCAGTGTGTCGAACTTTGGGCATAGTCCAGATTTTTTCCCTTATATGATACTACTGATATTCCCTTTATGAATCAAAGTTTTAAGATTCAACTTTCTGGCTGTTTTAAACTACAATCATGGTTCGATCGTTAAGTAAACGACTAATGATTCGAAGTTGAACCTGTACGAGAATATTGAGATGTCCCTGGATCATTTTAACATCTAAACATGCAAACTACCGTGTATAAATACATACTCACCGTTGTCGACGTCATACAATTAGTCATAGACTACTATTGACGCTTCTACTAATTCTACTGGTACGGACTCCCGGTCTGCACCTCCCGCTCTGTAGCATGCGGGGCTGAATTTTCCTGGGTGGTGTTTCCACGCACGGTTCAGTCTTGATTTGAAACAGTTTAATGATGGAGCGTTAATTACGGTGGAGTCTAGATTGTTCCACGGTTCGGTCACTCGGTTGGAGAATGCATTTCCTCTTAGTTTAGTCCTAAATCTTTTCTTGAAAAGTTTTTTGTTATGTCCTCTGGTGTTGTGTACATTCTGTCCGTGCACGAAAATTGTGAATTTATCCACGTTGGCATCTACAAGTCCATTGCATATTTTAAAAAGGTTTACCATGTCTGCTCTTTCACGTCTGTACTCTAAGGAAGGTATTCCTAAAACTCGCAGACGCTCCTCATAGTTTAGATGTTTGAGATGAGGCAACAACCTGGTGGCACGACGTTGGACATTTTCTAGAGTCTTCCGGTCCTTTTTATACATTGGAAACCAGACTGATGTGCAGTACTCCAAGTGAGGTCTTACTAGAGACTTGTATAGAACATATTTTTCTGACTAAATTAAATCCTATATTACAAACTAAATGTCTTGCCTTGTGTTCCACAACTTAACAATTACAGTCTGTCTTATGCAGTTGATACAGTATCTCCAAGAAGTTCAACATTCTTAAGTGGAAGCATTGATGTTTCAAATTTTCTCCGATGATCCTGTTAAGTTACAAAAAAATCAAGTCTGATTGTACTTGAATATGAATGTCCTTCAATTCCATCAAGCCTATTTAAGGATAAGATCTAAAGAAAGAGGTATCATTATATGGAGCAAATCATTTTTAACTATTTTTTTTTTTTTTTCCCAAATTTTAGGATGGTAATTTCCTTCTTGCCACATACCGCTGCCAGGCCAACACAACACGTTTGGAGCTGAAGATTCGTTCCATTGAGGGACAGTATGGGACCCTGCAGGCCTACGTCACGCCCCGTGTCCAACCCAAAACCTGCCAGGTCCGCCAGTACCAGATCAAACCGCTGTCACTTCACCAGCGCACACATGTGTTTGACGACTCCAGGTAAAGAGGACCTTACGCTGATGAACACATTTTAACTGAACAGACTGTATGGGGTTAAAATGTTGTTAGAGGAAAAAAATTGTAGGTGTGAATTTTAGAATCTTTACCCGTGTCACTCGCTCTGTGTTGAATTTGAAGTTTTTATAGTGAAGTGTCACAGTAAGAGGTCAGAGGTCACAAGTCAGCCACATTTCTCTTTGGTGTTGAGTCGATACAGTACTATATAGTATACAGGAATCACTTGTTCTGACCCACCCTGCTGGTTAGTTTTACATGTAATGCACAACGTATAACAATACAAAAAAATCTGTTTACCGACCTCGACAAACTTGAAGAAAGGGGGATGGTCTTATCACCGGGCAGCCACGCCATGCACGGAAAGTACGGTGAAGTAGGGGATGGTCTTATCACCGGGCAGCCACGCCATGCACGGAAAGTAAGAAGAAGTAGGGGTGGTCTTATCACCGGGCAGCCACGCCATGCACGGAAAGTAAGGTGAAGTAGGGGATGGCCTTATCACCGGGCAGCCACGCCATGCACGGAAAGTAAGAAGAAGTAGGGGTGGTCTTATCACCGGGCAGCCACGCCATGCACGGAAAGTAAGGTGAAGTAGGGGATGGTCTTATCACCGGGCAGCCACGCCATGCACGGAAAGTAAGGAGAAGTAGGGGTGGTCTTATCACCGGTAAAATACAGTAACTTGAGGATGTTCCACAGAAATCTCCAACCCAATTCATTGCTTTAGGGAATTTTATTACAATTAGTCAATTCCAAACTCTAATGTTAGCCATAATCCTTGTTGGTGCACATTGAAAGTACACTTGTTTATTCCTTGATAAATATCTGGAGATTTAACCATGTTTCAATAAGATACAGAGGAGAGCTGATTATCATTACTTATCAGTAGACATACAAATGATTTGGATAAGCAGCTCTTTGAATAACCAGTCAAATACTGCTTAAGCAGTCTAATTATTAGACAACACTATGAGATTTGAATAATTCCAAGTTTGTATTATTGGCATTCTACTGTTAATATTTGGTTTCACAACTCTTGTTATCTTATGCTTTTTGCAGACCCCTGAATACTGTCAAGTTGACAGGTCAGTTCAGCTTGGCGGAGATGCACTCCTGGGTTTCCTTCTGTTTACCAGAACTTCCTGAGAGGACCCCGCCTGGAGATGTACTGACATTCCATTTCGTCTCGACTTTCCTCGACACATTGCTCGAATGTGAATACAGGTAACCATGTATTCAAAACATCAGTTGTCTTTCCTAAGGAAGCGCAGAGTTGCTTTTATTTATCGTGTTCCAAACAGCCCGACTGATCTGTTGAGAATTCAAAAATATGGATAGATCTTGTGATTTGATATTACTTTCTAGTGAGCCTTGACAAAGACTTTTAAGGCCTCCATTGTTAACATTGTGGAGGTCTGTCAGGCTTTATCCTAAACATTCTGACACTCAAACACAGACAGGCCCTTGGTTAAAGTAATATTAATTTCAGTAAAGCTACATGCGGTAGTTGTTTAAGGGCCCCCCTACCACTGCCAATAACAATGAACTGTAAAAATAAATATTGGCCTGAATAGCTTTAATTAATTTTATGCAAAAAGTAACGAAGATGAAATCAACAAAAAAGAAAGCAGCAGTTTTCTGAGAGTAAAAAATGTGGAATTCCAACCCTGGACCTCTGATCACAATAAGCTCTAACCAACTGACCTACATGATCAGTGGTACTACTTCAGCCCTGTCCCACTACAGCTTGGCTACATTCGCGTATCCAGTGAAAGAGTTGAACCTGTAAAGAAAACAACAGGCACACATCTGAACCAAGGCTCACCTCAGGAATATTCGGCACGTGTAGATTCACTAGATTGAGGGGTCCAGACTTACCAAAACTAAAATGCTGACTTTGCTAGTTTGCGATATTTCTTTCTAAAACAATGTCAAGCCACATGTAGTTTTTATGATACGTTATGTAATTCAGTGGATGTGTGAAAAAAGGGCATAATAGTCTTGATACATTGTTATTTATTCTCCGAAACTGTGCATTTTTAGCTCTGCTTATAGAAGGGTCCAAGTGCGTTCGTTTATCGTGGAATATTTCTGTGCCACCAGCTGTACCGTTTCAACCAGGATACACGAATGTAACCTTATTGAAAGCAACTTAAGGGAGGGTTACTGTTTTTATGAAAATGTACGATGGCCTTCTCTATTGTTTTGCTTGCATTGGAACAGGGATCCTTAATTTCCAGAGATGGTCAGATTTTGATGTTGTTTCCACTGGATTTAGTCCACTTTGAAACATGGGTGTATTACTGGTACCTATGACATGAACCGGCAGTAATAATCTTTATCCATGATATCTACCTGTTGCATTACCTTTATATACAGGAAGGGCCAGGCGGTGTTCAAGTCGGACAACATTTCCACGGTATCCATCCTCAAAGATGTCCTCACCAAGGAAGCAACCAAAAAGAAGATCCGATTAGACATCACATATGGTAATGAATGGAGTACAGTAGGACATTAGCTCAGAGCTCTACACAGGTTACATTACATATGGTAATTAGTGGAGTACAGTAGGACATTAGCTCAGACCTCTAGACAGGTTACATTACATATGGTACTGAATGGAGTACAGTAGGACATTAGCTCAGAGCTCTAAACAGGTTACAATACATATGGTAATGAATGGAGTACAGTAGCACATTAGCTCAGAGCTCTAGACAGGTTGCATTACATATGGTAATGAGTGGAGTACAGGAGGACATTAGCTCAGAGCTCTAGATAGGGTATATTACATATGGTAATGAGTGGAGTACAGGAGGACATTAGCTCAGAGCTCTAGACAGATTACATTACATATGGTAATGAATGGAGTACAGTAGCACATTAGCTCAGAGCTCTAGACAGGTTGCATTACATATGGTAATGAGTGGAGTACAGGAGAACATTAGCTCAGAGCTCTAGGCAGGTTACATTGCATATGGTAATGAGTGGAGTACAGTAGGACATTAACTCAGAGCTCTAGACAGGTTACATTACATATCGGAATGAATTGAGTACAGTAGGACATTAGCTCAGAGCTCTAAACAGGTTACAATACATATGGTAATGAATGGAGTACAGTAGGACATTAGCTCAGAGCTCTAGACAGGTTACATTACATATGGTAATTAGTGGAGTACAGTAGGACATTAGCTCAGAGCTCTAGATAGGTTATATTACATATGGTAATGAGTGGAGTACAGTAGGACATTAGCTCAGAGCTCTACACAGGTTACATTACATATGGTAATTAGTGGAGTACATTAGGACATTAGCTCAGAGCTCTAGATATGTTATATTACATATGGTAATGAGTGGAGTACAGTAGGACATTAGCTCAGAGCTCTAGACATGTTACATTACATATGGTAATGAATGGAGTACAGTAGGACATTAGCTCAGAGCTCTAGACAGGTTTATTGTATACGATATTGAACCGGTAAATAGAATCCAGTTACATCAAGCTGTGTTTGTAAGCACTGTTCTGTACATAAAGATAACATGAGAGATTCTCTAGTTCCAACAAACACAAATGTTACTATAGTTGATTTGTGGGTTTATGTGACTGGTTCGGATACTCCTCTACAAATGTTACCATAGAGATTCTGTGTCAATTTCTGACACTTCTCTGTTAATATGTCTCTGTTAATATGTTACTATAGTTGACATGGGGAATTTATTGTCTAGTTCTGACATAACCCTGTACAAATATTAATATAGTTGACATGGGGAATTTATTGTCTAGTTCCGACCTAAGCCTGTACAAATATTACTATAGATTACATGGTGAATTTATTGTCTAGTTCCGACATAACCCTGTACAAATATTACTATAGATTACCTGGTGAATTTATTGTCTAGTTCCGACATAGCCCTGTACAAATATTACTATAGATTACATGGTGAATTTATTGTCTAGTTCCGACATAACCCTGTACAAATATTACTATAGATTACATGAGGAATTTATTGTCTAGTTCTGACATAACTCTGTACAAATATTACTATAGATTACATGGTGAATTTATTGTCTAGTGCTGACATAACCCTGTACAAATTAAATATTACTATAGATCACATGGTGAATTTATTGTCTAGTTCCGGCATAACCCTGTACAAATATGACTATAGATTACATGGTGAATTCATTGTCTAGTTCTGACATAACTCTGTATAAATATTACTACAGATTACATGGTGAATTTATTGTCTCGTTCTGACATAACCCTGTAAAAATATTACTATAGATTACCTGGTGAATTTATTGTCTAGTTCTGACATAACCCAGAACAAATATTACTATAGATTACCTGGTGAATTTATTGTCTAGTGCTGACATAACCCTGTACAAATATTGCTATAGATTACATGGTGAATTTATTGTCTAGTTATGACATAACCCTGTACAAATATTACTATAGGATACATGGGGAATTTATTGTCTGGTTCTGACATAACCCTGTAAAAATATTACTATAGATTACATAGTGAATTTATTGTCTAGTTCTGACATACCTCTGTACAAATATTACTACAGGTTACATGGGGAATTTATTGTCTAGGTCTGACATAACTCTGTACAGGGTTATGTCGGAAGTAGACAACAAATTCCCCATGTAACCTATAGTAATATTTGCACAGGGTTATGTCAGAACTAGATTCTGACATAACCCTGTACAAATATTACTATAGATTACATGGGGAATTTATTGTCTAGTTCTGACATAACTCTGTACAAATATTACTACAGATTACATGGTGAATTTATTGTCTAGTTCTGACATAACCCTGTACAAATATTACTATAGATTACATGGTGAATTTATTGTCTAGTTCTGACATAACCCTGTACAAATATTACTATAGATTACATGGTGAATTTATTGTCTAGTTCTGACATAACCCTGTACAAATATTACTATAGATTACATGGTGAATTTATTGTCTAGTTCTGACATAACCCTGTACAAATATTACTATAGATTACATGGTGAATTTATTGTCTAGTTCTGACATAACCCTGTACAAATATTACTATAGATTACATGGTGAATTTATTGTCTAGTTCTGACATAACCCTGTACAAATATTACTATAGATTACATGGTGAATTTATTGTCTAGTTCTGACATAACCCTGTACAAATATTACTATAGATTACATGGTGAATTTATTGTCTAGTTCTGACATAACCCTGTACAAATATTACTATAGATTACATGGTGAATTTATTGTCTAGTTCTGACATAACCCTGTACAAATATTACTATAGATTACATGGTGAATTTATTGTCTAGTTCTGACATAACCCTGTACAAATATTACTATAGATTACATGGTGAATTTATTGTCTAGTTCTGACATAACCCTGTACAAACATTACTATAGATTACATGGTGAATTTATTGTCTAGTTCTGACATAACCGTGTACAAATATTACTATAGATTACATGGAGGCATGTCCTTAGATGACCTTACAACCAACCAACATGGGAGATTCTGTGTCTATTTACAAAACTGCCCTGTAAATGTATTATTATAGTGGAAGTAGGGGTTCTCAATATATCTCCAATTCCAATGTGTTTCTGTATAGTATCTCAGAGGGATCTTTGCTAAGGTCCAAAATTTCCCGCCCAACTTTTGTCTGTAATAACAGTTTTCGTGTTACAATAGATATTGTGGAGGACTCCGTGCCCTACACTCTAAATTTGATTCACCCTAAACTGGAGTACCAACTGTTACTGGCCAAGAAAGTGCAACTCATTGATGCTCTCAAGGTATTTACTGTTATTAACATTCTAATGTATTTACTGTTCATCACATACTTTTCTATAAGTTAGTATTTTTTCTGCTTTTGCTTCCAATAAGACTTGATCACAGTAAAAGTTCTATTCCTTTCAAAATAGGTAGAAATCGTTTAAACAGGATCTTCTTCGGTTGATACAAGAATATAATATGCAGCAAAGGATAGCAATGTAGCATCAATCTCATTGTCATGTCTGCCCAGTACTTGCTGTAATACAGATTCAATTAATGTGTTCATGTATAAAAAGGAACAGATTCATTTTTAATGCTCTATGTTATTTTACTCACACAGGAGCTACAGGTGCACGAGAATGATACAAGTTTCTTGTCACCTGAATATCGTCAGATCTTGGAAGATTCGGATGCACTCCAGGCAGAGTACAAGCGACAGCCCTGCCATCTGGAGAGACTGTACGGTATCCTTTTAAATGATTCCAGTCTATGGTATAACCATTGTTCAGTATATTTTTTTCCCCTATGTAAATGGGGTAGGATAACATAACACTCACAATGCAAAATTGACATCTGTGTAGTAAGAAGCTACAAGTTATATGAATGTTAATTATAAGGTTAGCCTGCAACGGCGAGCGTAATCTACTATCAGACCAACAGTATGCAAAATACATCCATAAAGCGGCTTGACCAAGTGTAGACTATGTTCGATATTGTCACGCACGACAGCTCATCACCTTCGGCCGAGTCGACCTGCTCACCGAGCATACAGATAAGTCAGCTCGGCCACCTTACACATGCATGTTCACAACATTTCTATTCCCAAAATGAACTCTAATTCTCAAGCAGTGAACAAAAATGGTTTCATCCCCAGCATCATTAAGGAAATTAGGTTTTGCATAGAGCTTGTGAAATACTTGTAAAATCAAAGTTAACTTTGTGAAATACCCTCTTTAAATTATTTTTCTTCTTCCTCTACATTTGTATTTACATCTTTCACACCTTTTCCTACCCTTCCCTCTGCTTTGAAAGAAGTGATAAACCTGATAGTGGAATGCATTTCAATCAGAACTGTACGGGTGAAAGGTAATACTACTGATTCTCCAATCACTATAGCACACCCTCACAACGTCTTGTGTGCATGGGTGTCCTCATGACATCATCAATCTACAGACTTCATTTCTTATCCAATCATCTTCAGTGAAAAACAAGGTTTCTGTTACTGTAAGGAGAATGCTGGTGTCATCCCTCCAGACTTCATTTCTATTTTAGTTGTACATGTTCACAACTAACCTTCGTTGAATGACATTTGCATATCAATCCACCTGGGATCAATCTCTTGTACAAGTAACTGTGTTTTGACCTTCTAGGCCAAAAACAAGGTCAATGATACGATAAATAGACAGACTTCATTTCTTCATTGACTTCATTTTTACCACAACACCCCTTTTGTTTCACTCTAAAAAAGGTAATTGTGAAGTTATTATAATGTTATATCCTAAAAGTTTATCTCAACTCAACTGAAAAAAAAAGAATTCCTTAACTTTTTATCAGGAATGATAACTGATCTATATATTGACAAGTTCAAGTTCAAAGGTCACAATGTGAAGGGCAAGGTACCAGCTCTTCTCGAAGTCCTAGACAACTACGACCTCCAGTCTCTGGTGCAGTTCTTTGAGTCGGCATGACAACATGGAAACGTTAAAGAGACGCAATTATGTAGGACTGGATCATTAAAAATGTGATTCACTTCTTAAAATGTGAATCACTTGTCTTTGCAGTGGTGACTTTTGTCAATTTCAGAGTTGCAAACTTTAAAAGTGAAGGATGTTTGTGACATTTCATGTGTGAATACAAGAACATGAGTTAGATTTTATTTATTAAAAGTGCAATTTTATGAACAATATCTTGATATAGGATCATTATTCCACAGATTAAACACTTCAGTGGCACATCAACAAAAGCCTTTTTGTATTGAGTAAGGTACATGTGAAATACAGTGTACCTACATGCTAGAATGTCTTAATTATCTTTGTCCATATCCATGGAAAGATTTGTTTACAGCTTTGAACAAGACACTGTATCAGGACAGTTAAATTTACTTGTCTCGAAGCTTGTACTAGGAACAAACTGGATGACTCTACCATTAAGATCTGTATGTTTTTAGGTCAAAGAACTGGCATGACTCAAAAAGAATATACAATTACTTTTTAACATTAATATAAGATTTCATATTACAGACCAAACACTGGTCAAACACAATAAGCCCATGCCTGGTAATAAGCCCACCCAAATGTTGCAGTTCAGTAGAAATGCATACAAATACTTTTCTTTGTCCTTTTATAATTCAATCCACTTTGATGGAGAGATAATGTGTAGGCCCCCTAGGCTTTATGCAGGATAGATTATGGTAATTTTTGCTTGAAGAAGATTATATACATGTAATGGCTACAGCTATCTATTATTATGTAATTAGTCTAAGATTTATCTCGCCCTATTTCGTTTCATCATCAATTAAATCATAATACATTGCCTAATAAGAAATCATAATTTAGTGCAAGAGAAAACTTACGATGCGATCAAATTAGACTAGATCTGTGATATATTGTGGGATAGCACTGGATTTTAATTGATTGTTGATGTTTCAAGTCCGTCCAAAAGGAAGTTACCGGTATACTTTGTATATTTTGTAAGCTTCATTTTGTGTCAAAATTTAATGTATATTTATAAGTTACATGTAAATGATGACTGAATTTCTCCTATAGTACCTATGGACAACAAACTTTAAAAGGACTAATTCCAGAAATGGATGAAAACCAACATGATGACTAATATAATTCATCATGTTTCAAATATTTGGTCAGACCTACTTTCCTGTTAAACACCAGCAAAAAATTGTTTTGACCAAAGCTTATAATTTTATAAATACATGTACGGACAGAATTCGTAACTTTTATGACGAGCCTTGGTAAATATTTCAGGTTCTTCATTAGCATTTACAGGTCCACAAGGCTTTATGCCTGAAGATAAGACAGAAGACATAAATATTGTTTTACATAAATGTGGTGAGAGTGTGAAACTTGTATGTGCATTGTAATGTACTGCATGCATACATGTAGGAAGTTCTCTTTCAAGTGTGTGCAAGGAAGAAGAGTGAAATGTTCTATTATGTATTTATTTATGACTATAAGTTGTTTAATTCAATGTTATACACATATATATATTGAAGGTAAAATACCATATGATTAAAATTTTGTGAAATTACGTATGTTTTAAAGAATGTTTTTTTATAAAATGGAAGGGTCATACAATTGTGTGTAAGACAAGCCCCAGACAGAATAAAAATGTGGATGTTGTTGACCTAAGCTATAATACATGTTGTCAATCTCTACCTAGAAAGGCTTTCCTTATACTCATGTGTATGCGAGTGTAAGGAACGACATCTCAGATTGGCATTTTGTAAAACTTTCCGTCCACACTGTGTAATTAAATATTTGTTTACTGACAATGAATTCAGGAAGAAATCGAACCCTGGCCGCCTACTATAGCCTACTATAGCTTCAGGCAAAATTTCCCTTTAGCCGAGTTTGAAGTCTGGGATGGCGGGTTCGATCTTCGGTGAAGAAAACTACTCTCTTTCCTGTAACAGAACATTGATAATCAGCAAACCATGACAGGTGTGCGAGTTGTGAATGCATTTTGCAGGAGAAGCCTCTAATTTTATTTATAGAAGATCCACCCCACTCTCTGTCTGAGGCTCACCATAGGTATAAACATATATTATGTACACATCTTTAATTACCGGTAGAGATTGGTGGTAGCTATAGAATGGTCCAGGGTGTTTAAGGATGTACTCTTCTGAGGTGTCAATCACGTTCAAGTCTCGTTTTGATCTGGTGTAATGGGTTTTCGTAATATCTAACAAATTATGATCAAGTTTATTAGCCAACATGCCTCTGAAAAATATGTCAAAAAAATGGATGCCTGTTGTTTGTAGAACTTATTTTACAAGAAGTTAAAAAATTTACCAATTTGGCGGCCGTTTTGAAAATGTGTATTAATGTGTATTTCTTGCGCTTCAAAAATGGCCAAAATTTCACCTTTTTTGACACTAGATTGATCACTTAAATTGTCATTGTGTCGCCATTTTTAATTGTAGCAGGTTCAATTTTGCTGTACAACTTTATAATGTTCAATATGATAAAAATAATATGCAACGAACTGGAGCACTTTTGATTTTTGACTCCGAAAAAGGTAAAAAATAACACAAATGATAATGGGACAAAAAAAGAAGCACACTGACCCCCCATTTTTGTAGATGTTTTAGAAAGAGAAACACATTTTCATTTAATTCATTAAATATTAAAAAAGTTTAATACCAGAACTTTTTTATATCAAGCGTTTCATCTGCAAAAAAAAGGTAAAAAATGAGTTTTTTCATTAAAAAATAGGGGGTAGGGGTAAGTACAATCGGCTTTCTGAGTTAAAAGAATAAGATTAAGAAATTTTCCTTCCACAATTTGAAAGAAAATAATATTTTCATCAATTCTACAAACATTCATACATATCTGATAACACACTTGGAAGAAATTGTGTGAAATTGTTCTGCAAATGTTCAAAACCCAAAAAATCACCTAAAATCACATGTTGTGTTAAATTGGTATCTTTGACCGATCATAGCACAAAAACGAACACACCCGACATATTTTATTTTTTTTGCATTTTCTACTATGCCATTAACTCCTTTTTCCAAAAATCCATATAAGAAAAAAAGTTTAATACAGGAAATTTTTGACTTCTCAGAGGTGTATACATCCTTATAGCATGCAAATTTGACTTATTTTGAGGAGGAGTTGGAGAAGAGATGGAATAAAAACCCAACAAAACAGATTCAGAAGATGATTTAATGACATATTTATCTTATAAACCAATTTGAAATAATTATACATACATAAGTAGTATTGGGAATAAGAAGTAATATATCTAATTAAAACTTGTTTCTGTTGTGGTTTGGGCATATACATTTAACTCATCACTCACACCTGAAGACACATTTGAACCCTTCCAATTAAAAGATTGGAATAGTTCATTATAAAATTTTCCGGTGTGAATAAGTTAATGTTTAATTACAGAGCTTTCAGTTTACCATTGACATTTGGCAATTTCAGAAGTCAAGTACGATTTGCTTGAAATATGGAGAGTCAAAACACATGTCAAACTGAAATAGACATTTCCTTTCAAACCCAAGAGGCAAAGCTCATTTTGGGAAGTCAAAAACATAACTCTCTTGGGTTGTCTGAAAGCCCTGTACTTATGTATACATGTATGAGGTGTCAATATCTTGGATTGAAATAATTCATCACTATATCACATCTTGGCTCCTTTCGCATATCCGGTTTAACCTGCGAGTGAGTTGAAATGGTTAAACCTGAAAGAAAACGACAGGCGCAGATCTGAACCGAGACTGACCTCAGGAATATTCGACACGTGTAAATTGAGGGGTCCAGACATACCTGACTGAAACTTAAATGCTGACTTTATATTTCTTTATAAAACAAGGTCAAGCCACATGTAGATTTAAAGATGCATTTCTACCGGGCTATGTGAATGTAGCCTAAGTGAGGCAGTTTGTTTAATTGTTCAAAATTTGAGTAATTAACTACAAAAGGAATCAGGAAAAAAAAAAAAAAATGCAGGGATGGAACCGTGTTTTCTATACAAGAATTATCAATTCACAGTATCAAAATATGATATAAATACCTTGACAAGGGAAGTAACTCTTACCCAGAAAAACTCCTTTTTATTGTGGCACAGCCTGCTTTATTAAAGGGAGAATACTGAAAGTTGAAAAATAAACTCTGAAGTAGAACTCTGCTTTACAATTGCCGTACTCTCCGTAATTAGCACCAAGGGGGCTTAAAAAATGGCTTAAAGGAGGGTAGTTATCAAGATAATAAAATGTGGGCTAATGACATAAAAGTTATACAGTTTCAAACTTTGTTATCACTGAAGGACATAACAAATATTCAAGTGTGTCTGGACCCAGTTTAGAAATTGAATGTTAAATTTTTTAGTTTAGATATATTTCTTGTCAAAAGTAGACAAAGGGATTAGGCACTTCACCGGAGGTCCTGCCATGATCACCAGACCTAAATCTCTGCTTTAAAGTTTAGGTACTATAAATCATTGACCAAGCCTGGTCAGAATTTGGAGGAGGATGGTGTCTTTATAATTCAATTTCTCCCCAAAAAGGAGGTGCTCATAAGGGGAGGGCCGCTAATTATGGTGAATATGGTATAACTGGTGCAGTGTAAGGTACTCGTTACCTTGTGAACCAAATCATCCACCACTTCAGTACATAAACACAATTACATCATATCAGTACATAAACACAATTACATCATATCATTAGTAATACCTCCCTCATGCATTTTAGTAGCTTTGATTTTATGGCTGTTGAATTTAATCACAGCAAGTAAACACATTATGTGTTTTTTTAATGAAGAAGGGCAAGGCTGATTATCATGAAAAAATTATTGCTGTCATCAATTTTTGAATATAATCAACAATTGTTTTAACACTATATACATATAAAACTGGTTAGTCATGATGAGAAATAAGTATAATGAAGATATCACAGGCTTAGATAAAAAAAAATGATAACATGTTCAGATAAATGATGAAAAGTCTAATAGGACATAAAAAAATCATCCGATAACAATTTTAATATCTTATTTAACAACAACAATTTAAATTAGTTAATAAATACAAGGTTTTTCAGCAGGAAGTACATAAAGCTACACAAATACAGTAGAACTTCAGTAAAATGCCCTTCATTTCATTGTCAACTCCCTTACAGCCATCATTTTCGAATGTTTTATTTTCTTGATACATTTTCCTCACTTAATCACCAAAACCATTTATAGTGCCAAAATTTGACTGCATCATGGTAAAGTGATCGCAGTATAACAAGGTTTTACTGTATATGTAGAATCTGAAATCAATATTCATTTTTGCAGGATATATATATTTTACAAGCCTATGACGAAATAAAATTAAAAAATTATGTTATATGTATACAGATTAATGCTTTATGTTGAATATACACATGCATTATAATGCCGCAACACGACATGGAGCGGAACAATACAAAAACTGGGACATTTTTCATTTACATGGACTTATATGTAAACAAGCACCTTAGATATTTTAATGTAAGCCACTAACTTAGAATTTATTAAAGTTCAATAAAAACGTAATTATCAAAACGTAATTTACTGAGTTACATAGGAAGGTTCATTGCCATGATAGCTCGGACAAGTTCGATAACCCCCAATGTCCGACTGTAATTTATGGAGTAATGGCCCTTTATGTACAACAATACAGATGACTGCTCATTCAATGCTTGACGGGCGTATTATGTTCCGCTTTCGTTGTACACCTGTTCATTTTAAACATCATTCAAACAGAACAAAAATAAACATTTAGAAATGTTTTGCAACAAATATCAATAAATATGAATACATATATTTATCAACTAAACGCAAATAGCTTTTTTCAGTTTTGGAAGGTTATAATTTATCTATGTCAAAAGTATGCAGATAATAATGGATATTTAATTCAATCTACAAACCAAGAGGCCCATGGGGCCTTAACAATCACCTGAGTGTAACTAAGAATACTACACTAAGTGTTTAATTAAACTAACTTAAACGAATGAACCCCAGTGGAGCAATTAAATGTCCCCCAATGTTGAGCATAGTGACCAGCAAACCATTAAAACTAGCAGAAGTATGATACATAATAACTACATATCAAAACATTTATGACGGTATGCAATACAGTTCTGTTAAAACATGTTCTATGATGCACGGCAGAGCATCGTGGAGAATATAGGCTTGAATGGAACTGTTTTGCATACTATCATAAACGTTGAAAAAAAGATGAATTTCAATCTTTACATTTACATTCAAAACAACAAATATGGTATCATTTTATCATTCTTTGTGGTCTCAACTGGTTCAAAATATATTTTAAAACAGTTTGATTTACCAAATAGCAGAATGGCAGTTTTTGTAGAGACAAGATCATGTTCCTATGGTTACCAGTTTAACATTTAATCAAGAAGGTAATTTGTGAATTGGGAACCAATCGGGAACTTCCTTCATAATTTGGATCTATATATAGTCACAATCATGATCTATACAGTCACAATCATGATCTATACAGTCACAATCATGAT